GAACTCAAACCGGACTGGCATGTGGTCTGAGAAAACATTATCACCAATAACAAGATTATTAACAGTCATATCATGAGTTAAAACAAGGTCCAGTGTATGTCCACGATCTTGGGTGGGACCGTTTACATGATGAGTTAAATTAAATTAGTCCAATAAATCTAAAAAGTCCTTAACCAAGGGCTTCTCAGGACAGCACACGTGCAAATTAAAGTCCCCAATAATGAAAACATGCTCATATTTTGGTGTGATTTCAGCCAAGAAGTCAGAAAACTCATTTATGAAATCCTTAGACCGAGGTGGGCAGTAGACGAGTGCAAATAACGTCGGAGGTGAATGTCCGAGTTCAAAGACGCTCAGCTCAAAGCTGGCGTGGGAAACTGGGATGGGCAGTTGTTTACAGTCAAAAGTTGATTTGAATATTGTTAATAATCCACCACCGCGCCGGCCTGATGGCCGCGGGGCGTTAAAATACAGACTGTTCGGTGGCAGTAATTCCGTCAAGGCGCTGGACTCACCCGGAGACATCCAAGTCTCTGTGATGCAGAGAAAGTCCAAATCGTGCTTTTGAAATTAATCCCTGAGGATAAAAGTTTTGTTGGTAACAGATCTTGCATTGACCAAACACATCCGGCTATTGTCCGAAGTGGAGCCAGCAGCGGTGGAGTTAGCGCGCGCTAATGGCCGCAGGTTTTCAATAACAGGCCCTCCAGGTCGGTCCAAGCGGTGCACCGGCTGACAACTCCCGTTGGTTACCTGGTCCGGGCACACAGGAAGCTGGCCATGGAAACCATGACCGTCACCTGGAGAGGAAGATGCAATGCGCAGAGCTTTCAGCTTCACCAGCTGACCAGCACGTTTTCCCCGGCGTCTGAAGCGAGATCTCCGGGCAGCCAGGTGAGGAGCGCAGCGAAGGTAAGCTGGCACGTCCGCCAGCAGGGGGGGGGGAGGGGGGGGGGGTCCAGAGGTACACTGATAATGGTCCAAATAAGCGCCTTCAGTGACAGAAAAACGAAGATTCAAAAGTTGTTGTCTGTCATACACCAGTAGAGAGTTGATGTCACAGATGTAAAATGCAAAAAACAAAAATAATCCGAACACCATCAGCAGAGGTGGATTGCAAGCCATGTACACGGGCGCCATCTTACAGGAAATTCAGTTTATTTATATAGCGCCAAATCACAACAAAGTTGTCCCAGGGCACTTTACAGGAACATTCACATAAAAGCCAATTAGTAAAGTTCTCTATCTAAGGAATCCAGCAGACAAGTTGAATCTTCACTTCGTTGCAGTCGCCCATCCTGAGCAAGCACAGTTGCAACAGTGGAAAGAAGAACTCCTTTTAAAAGGAAGAAACCTCCAGCAGAACCAGGCTCAGGACAAGCGGCCATCTGCTTTGACTGGCTGGTTGAGAGGACAGGAAGGAGAGACAGACGAACACAGAATGGTAGGTCCAGGTATAGGTCCAGGTATAGGTCTAGGTATAGGTCCAGGTCCAGGTCCAGGTATAGGTCTAGGTATAGGTCCAGGTATAGGTCCAGGTATAGGTCCAGGTCCAGGTATAGGTCCAGGTATATCTGAAAGACAAAAAACACAGGTTAAGGATAGAAAAAATAATTACAAATACATAACAGGTTGAGCAGAGTAAGTAAAGACAGTAGCAGAGTGAAAATTGTGGTCAGTTTTTCCTCCAGCAGTCTAAGCCTATAGCAGCATAACTAAGGGATAGCTCAGGAAACCCAAGCCGAACCTAACTATAGGATTTAGCAAAAAAGAAAGTCTTAAGCCTAGTTTTAAAACTAGATAATGTGTCAGCCTCACGGACAGAGATTGGAAGTTGGTTCCACAAGAGAGGAGCCTGAAAACTGAAAGATCTGCCTTCCATTCTGTTTTTGTAAATTCTAGGAACCACAAGTAAACCTGCAGTCTGAGAGCAAAGTGCTCTGTTAGGAAAACACGGAACAATATGATCTGTAATATATCTGTTTATCGTAATGGTGGTTTTTGTATTTCGTGTTTGTTATTGTCTGCCTTGTTTGTGTGCCCTTTTCCTCAGCAGTGTCCAGTGACTGGATGGATGCTAGAAATCATCCAGCCTACCAAATGACAGAGGAAATGCTCTTGTTTGAGTTTGCGAAAGTGACCATGAGGATGAAGAAGAGTGGAGTGGAGATTGGATAAGGTGGCGTGCAAGGGGGAAGTCACCGGTTCAACACCCTGGGCTGATAATGTCAAACACATCAAATGAGGGTGTTATAATTATTCTGGGTGGGAAAGTCCAAGTGGACTTGAATGATTTAAGGAGCATATGGAAATGGCTGGAATACAGAAATCTCATACAACTCTGTATCATTCCATGGGAAATGGCATTGCAGAGCGATTCAAAAGGACTCTGGGAGATATGATCAGGTCGCTCCCCCCTCAGCCAAAAGCAAAGTGGCCACAAATGCTGCAGCTGCTCACTTTCTGCTATAACTGCAAGGAGCATACGATGGCAGGGTTCTCCCCATTCTACCTCATGTTTGGAAGAATTCCTCATCTCCCCGTTGATGTCATATTTCAACATGCCCTCACTGATGATGCAGTTGTCAGTTACTCAGACTTTATTTTCCACCTGAAGAAAGATCTACATGAAGCTGCTCAAATTGTGCAGAAGAACAGTCTCAGGGAACAAACTCGCCATACTAGGCTGTACGACCTCAGAGTCAAGGACTCACCTCTCACCATTGGGGACAGAGTTCTGATCTCCAACAGAGATGTACCAGCAAAACGCAAAGTTGCGGACAAGTGGGAGTCTACCCCTTATGAGGTCATGTTAGTCAAGCCCGAGATCAATGTCTACAGAGTCAAAAATGTCGTAACGGGTAGGGAAAGGGTCATCCACAGGAATCTGCTGCTCTCTGTTAACTTCTTGCCCTGAGAGAATGATGAGTCCATTCAGAAGATGGCAACTCATCTGACCAGGGACCTGGTACCATCCAGTCTAACTCTCTTACGACCGTTACCTCCGTGCCAGCCAATCGCCCAAGTCCTGTCACAATGTTGTCCACTCATCACTTGATGATATGGAGGACCCACGACATTGCCCAGACATTTTACCCTCAGACATGGTTGTGGCTTCTCCCAGTTCTGTCCACCTAGCCCCTCCTGACGATGTCCTCACAGACTTATCTCTCCCTGTTGACATTTCCCTAGACGTTGAAGCCCCTATGACAGTAGCTCCTGACGGTGACTGTTCAGCCACTTTTGTTCCGGTCTCCTTAACTCAGATTGGTTCAGCACTGCCTGACAGTCGTGTTCTTAGGGATTGTGGGCCCCCCAAATGTCTTGTTTATTACATGAATGAACACACAGTAGATATGGCTTCTTTATCTGCCGTCTCAGTTAGTTCCTTGATTCAGTTCTTTTCAAGTGCACTTTTGGTTTAAGTAACAGTGTTATGAGAGTGGACAGGGATTACATTTCAGTGGTGTAATGGGCACCTTTGAGTCTGTGTTTAGTTAGGAGTTTAATCACCTTTTGGGGCGGCTGTGGCTGAGTGGTTAGAGCAGTCGTCCTCCAATGCGAGAGTTGGGGGTTCGAATCCACCAGCAGTCACATGCTGAAGTGTTCCTGGGCTAGACACTGAACCCGTCATAGCCTCTGATGTGAGTCCCATCAGTGTATGAATGTGATCTAAAAAAGTACTGATTAGTTTCATTAGAATGATTTGTTCAATTAGCTTTGTAGAGATGTAGAGTGCTGTATGAATGGGTCAATGAGGACACAGATTGTAGTGTAAAGCGCTTTGAGTATCTTGAAATAAGATAGAAAGGCGCTATATAAGTGTAGTCCATTTGCCTCCTTTCTTCACATACTCCATTTTGGGGAGTTTTTGAACTGACATGTATACTTAATTTTGTTCTTGATATTACACAGTTTTTGGTTGATTTTTATCTTGCATACACCCACTCGTTTTTGTTGTTTTTGTTTTGCTTGGTCTGAGGACTTACTCTTTATATTTAGCAAAATTTAATTGGGGTGAATGTAATGTGTATAAGAAATACTTAGATTATTGTAATGAAATTCCTGCTAAAATATGTATTATAGTTGTCCTGTAATGAGTGGGCTTTGGTGCCCTCTACTGGTAGGCTATAAATATGACCGGAAACGTTGGTTACGTACTGTAACCCCAGATTCTATGAGTATAGGCGTAGCCCTTTAAGGCTGTCGCTTAGTGGGTTTATCCCGTCATGCGGAGCATTACACTGAAAAAATTTAGTCCACGCCCACCTGCTGTGTGGGCCCCACCTGGTCCGTATAAATTACGTTAAGAGCGGGTAATCGGCTCCCAAATAGCTTTTTCTTCAGCCACTTAGGAGCCAGTGAGGCCCAACATTTAAAGGGCTACGCCTATACTCATAGAATCTGGGGTTACAGTACGTAACCAACGTTCTATTTCGTATAGGCTTCGCCCTTTAAGGCTGTCACTTAGTGGGTTAAGGGCGAAGCAGATGTGGTCCTCGCCTCACTGGGTCCATTCAAACACCGTATGAAGCGGAAGCTTGCCCAAAAACATCTTGTCACTCAGCTCTCCAT